GGTCTGAGATTCCATAGAAATATTTTATCTTCCCTGGCTCTTGCCATAAAATCCTGGGTCATTTAGTAGTTTCTCTGTGACAGATGAGCCACCTGAATCTGTGATGGCCGTTTCTTTTCTGGTCATGGAAGGATTTGGCTTAAAGTTTTGAAAAGTCATTTAGACGCCATTGTTAGTGTAGGTCTCCTGCTCTTCGTTCCTTTTATAGCACTTACAGGTTTAGTGCAGTAAGGTATTATGTGCACACACAGATACCATACAGACAAAACAGCTTTTTTAAAGATTTTGTTAAAATAGAAAATCTACTGCATTGTGAAAATCCTTAACCTACATCCAGAACCTCCTGATGTCTTTTCCTGTAAAAAAGTGTAACAAAAGCTGTGAATTGATAGGCTACTTTTTAAAAAAAACCAAGCTGCCTCCTGTTAGGAACATAAATAAATGGCCTGATTTTTCAAAGGTGCTGAGGGCATGGAGTTCCCAAGCGACGTCATTGCCTACCTTCAGGATCCCAGGTCTAAAAGTATTCCTTTGCCTCCTGATCCCATTTAAACACTGGTAACCTGGTGGGGCTGTTGCTACTCCCACTTAAAAGCCCTTTTCCATTTACTCTTGTCCAACAAAAGTCCATTGTTTTGCGATTACACAGAATGAAATATCAGAGGGGTATCCATGTTAGTCTGAATCTGCAAAAGTGGCGAGGAGTCTTGTGGCACCTTATAGACTAACAGAAGTGTTGGAGCATAAGCTTTCGTGGGCGAAGACCCACTTCATCAGACGCATGTAGTGGAAATTTCCAGAGGCAGGTATAAATATGCAGGCCAGAATAATGCTAGAGATAACGAAGTGAATCCAATCAGGGAGGAAGAGGCCTACTTTAACATATACTATGACCTTACTCATTACAGTAGTATGAGTATCGATAATCTCTCTGTAATGGTCCCTTGCTTACTTCAGTGTAGTACTACTTAGGGATGTAAGTGACTAGTTGACTACCCGATAGGCATCTTATCAGAGGCAGCACGGGGGTGGAGGGAAGCAGGAGTCAGTGCTAGGGGGAGCCAGCTTAAAAGCCGATTTTCCCCCCTCCCCAGCACCGCCTCTGGGGGGGTGGTGGTGGCAGGGGAGGCAGAGGTGCAGCGGAAAACGGCCATCTCATTGCTGTGCCTCTACCGTTTAAATGTAGCAAGAGCTGCCCGTGGGGCTCTTGCTACATTTCAAAGGCAGCTTTTGCAGAATGAAATATGGATCCAGATTGTATCTTTAACAATAGAAAAAAATTCTGTGTATGAAATCATCCATTTAAGCATCTGATTGACTAGGAGTCATTTTTCAAAACAATAATTATTTTAAAAGTATATTTAGTATTAAAGGAAGGTACAGGGATGATAATTCTGGAGCATCGTCTATTTATTCATAACACAAAGGTAACATGAGGGACTCTGATACATTGCTTTAATAGTTAGATGGAGTGTAGACTGGTATAGTGAAATTGACTCATTCCTGATCTGGGAGGACTTCTTCTAGTGATTATAGTCAGTGCAGGTGGGGAAAATGTATCTTCACGTATCAGGTCTATGCACAACTTCAGCCCCTCAAACTGAGCCTGAAAGGCATTAAGTGATGCCCAGATCTTGTATGACCCCTGTGCTCAAGGATGGATTTTCACTTTATTCCTTAATTCACACATCACTATGAGACTACAATGCATTATATAAATGCTAAAAATTATTATACATTCTGTGCTGAGACTACAACAAAAATAGTTTCACCAAAATGGTGGTTTTTGCGATGCAGATGGCTGTCCACTGACCCATGACCATCAACTAATATTTTTGTTTACCTGTGAATCTGAAGGTCCAGTTATGCAAAAACTTACTAGTAGAACTAAAACTGTGGCAGGCAATGTACTCAAGATTTGGTTTTTGTTAGCCAGAACTGACTTTCATTACCAAACTGTGATAAAATTGATTGCGTGACCTAAGAGTTGAAAGGCTGTTAGTCTCTTAACTAATCTCCTGAGCCATCCATCCTCCCAACCTAAGCAGATATTAATTTTTGTTAACATCTGGAATAAGAGGATGATGCTCGCAGCCTGGAGGAAAAGCGGTGATTAAGTGTTAGATTTCACCAGCATATTTCATCTGTGTAGGAGGCTAGCACTTTTTCAAATACCAGTTGACCTGATTACTGAAAGAAAGACGCATTCCATATCTGAGGATAGTTTAAAAGCCTAGCCATTATTATTTATTGACTGCCATCAATGGGGCAGATGCAGTCTCTGGCATACAGAATTTACAATCTGATTTAGAGAGAGTGTATATTAAATGTGTACAAATAGTAGTGTAAATATAGCTGCAAAATGTATCTTTCTTTTTTTTTAAATTGTAATGACTTCTTTATTAAAATTGTAAGCAATTCATAGCTAGACCAAATACATGAAATGCATCCCTATCAAAGAAAACTTGTGGGTTTTTTTCAGTGCATTTATTAACTTATATTAAGTTTGCACTAGGGGTCTCAAACTCAAATTACCTTAGGGCCAGTCCTCAAATCCTCCTAGTAGGCCAGTGGACACCCCTCTCTGCCGGGGCTCCGAAGGAGGATGAGGGGGTCTCTGTGCATCTCCTTCCCATGCATCTCCTGACCCCTCCTGTCAGGCTTTACATTCCCCCTCTCCGTGCATCCCCCAGCCCTGCCTGCCATCCCCTGGTGATATAAAACTGGAGATGGCAGTGGAGCAAAGCAGAGGCTGTTATGTCGTTCTGCTTCCCCACAGCTTCTGTCACCACAGTGACTGTGTGTGTGTTGGGGAGAGGGACCCCTACTACTGCCCCACACCAGGGCCGCGTCCCTCAGGGGAGGGGGCTTGAGGGAAGGGCTGAAATGAAGGGGAAGGGTAGAGCAGGGGCTGGACTTGGGGGAAGGTTACAGACACTGCTGCCGTCCCCCTCCAGGGCCAGAGGGACTTATATGCCAACAGTCATGTACGGGCTGAATTGTGGAACTGCTCAGGCCGCATATGGCCCACTGGCTGTGAGCTTGAGACCCTCTGGTTTACAGTATGGCTGTCTTATATTACTGTTGTATTCGTATGACTGTGAAAAGAACTGCTTGATTAATGTAGCTAGAATTACTTACGTAGTCTGACTGAAATTGTCTGATACTGTTTCTTGCATCCAAGTCATCTTGGTGTTTGCATTTTCATGGACTTTTTCCCTTTGTTTAGCTAGCAGCTAAGATATATTAGCCCCTTTCATGTTCACCTTCTCTGGGGTGTTAATCATTTCTTTAACATGAATGTGTATTCTATGCCATTATATTAGGGTTTTGTTAAATGTCTGAAAATGATATTCCAAGAACATAAAATAAGACAGATGCCCTGCTGCTGCTCCCAACTAAAGTCAAGAACAGAATCACAAAGTGCATGAGGGTGTTCTCGCTCACCTTTCAGTTATCATGTCTGCTTTACCCTAGTTCTGACTCAAGCAGATTTTTTTTTTTCATTTCACTTTGTGACTGGTATACTCCTTCTTTTAGAGACCTATTGCCTGCAATACTGAAAAAGTTTTGACTGCAGAGAAGCTATGTTTTTTAAAACACAGTGAGAATAAAAGTCAAGTCGTGGTGTTATTTTTAAATTTTTATTGCCATTACTATACAGGGTAGTTTTTTTTTTCTCTGAATGCCAGACACAATAACTTAATATAAAGATTTTGGCATGAGTCTATTCACGTTGTCACTAGCAGTGGCTTATATTTACCAGACTTGTATATGTGTTTTAATCTATAAAGGATTACTACAAATAAGGTAAAAATGTTTGATTTGTTTGTAAGTTAAGAGGAATATTTCATTATCAACTGCTGCTTTCGGATTGGTTTAAAGCGCAACCTGCAGAATTAGCATAATTTGTGAGCACCAGTGACAAATGTTCAGAGCATCTGTAATTCAGGGCTGATGTTCTGTGGACCTAATAGTTATTAGTAATGCATTTAAAGATGAAACCTGGCAAAATAACCACAGAGCAAACACATTAAGTTAATTAAATGTTACTCTTAGAACTGAATGGAAGTCTGCCTGCAAGGTGAGTATCATGCTTGTCCAATAAACAAGTCCACAAAAGAAGTCCACAGAGTCCTTGGGGTTTGTTTGGTTTTTTTACTACATCTGGAGTTATTTGCAGAAGATTTATAAATGCTTGATGATAGAGTGTCAAGACTTGATTGTCACTGTATCTCATTAGTTGCCTATAGAATTTATTTTGTTATTGACCACGTATATATTAATACTTTAAATAGACCATTTTCACATAGATATCTGAAGAGTGTGCACCCCAACCAGGGAAGAAGTTTGCAGATGTGTGAGTGGCATGGAAAATGTCCTTGTGCAATCAACATGGGGAATTGTGGTCCCTAAATGCCTGAGTCTAATATTAGTAAATATGTATGTGTGTTTGTGCATTTGATTGGATGGGTTGTTTAAATTTTTTTTTTTTTGCCATTTTGGTTTTTTTAGGGCCATTTAACATTTTTGATATTTTTTTTCTTTTTATAAGTCTGTATGGATTTGCAAAATTAAATAACCTGAATCTAAGACCTTAAGATCTGAGAGAGTTTGAATATTAAGGCTCAGATTCTTCTCTCACTTCCACTAGTTCTGCACTTGTGTAATTCCAGTGACTTAAAGAGAACTACTAATGATTTGTACAAATACAAATGAGAGCAGAATTTGGCCCAATGTTTTTAACTTAGCAGTCTTTTTAAAATTAAATAAAAGTAATCCTTATTCTTTCTCTCTCTTTTCTGGTGCAGGTTTACTTTTTAAAACCTATTGCGTTAAACATGAAACTTTTTTTTTAACCAGAATGAAAGAGAGAAATCCAAACAGAGACTAACATAGATGAGTTACTGGACATTAGTGTATAGAGCCCTACTTGACTTGAGTCTCTGCAAAGTCTTCTCTAACCATTCTCCTATCTCTGTTTATTCCATGCTAAGCAGATGGCCCAGAAATTAGCCAAAAGCAGGAAGAAGGTGCAGTACAACCTCCATCAGCTTGATGTTATGCCTGTTCTGTTTTGTTTTATTTTATTTTTTTTGCCTTTCTTACTTTTAATTTTGTGTTTTTATTTTCTGCATCCAGCAAGTTTTTGTTCGGGTTTATTTCCGCCTCGCCACACAAGTTGACATTTCCCAAAAATCAGTTGCCTAGTTGGCCATTTTTTGTTGCTTATCATTAGCCATTTCATGTCAGAAATAGGGTAAATATTGGATTCATCAAATGGAAACACAGTACCTACCAAATAAACAGGAATGGTAAAGGTTTTAATTCTGTAAAATGGCATATTAATAAGAAATTATTCTTATATTGTATCTCTTTCTAAAGACTATTTTTGGTTAATGTGTGTCAAATTGCTGGATGCAAAAATAGTTTACATATGTACACTTACTTTATACACTGAGATTACTAAAATATGAGTACATTTTGTTCATGAAGTTCTTAGGTGTCATGGAACAAATATGCATTTTAAAGTACAAGCATTTACTCTACATTTTACAAAGGTACATCTTCTGGAGTGGGTTAGTGCTTTAATAATCTGTTGTTTGACCATAAAGACCCCCTTGCCAGAACTGCTTTATAATCCCTTGCTCTGCACCTGTTGTATACATTTTCTCAATAGCCTTAGCAGTCACTTTAATTAGAATCATATAGAAATCCTGCAAGTGCTACCCTTAGTTAGTACACTTTTCATGTGAAAATCCTTCTTTAATGTGGCATTCATGTTAAAATGAGAATCATTTTGATTTCCATGGAATGATTATACAGTTCATGAATTAGGGGGTTATAACTTCATTTGATCAGAAAAGAGAGTAGGGATTCTGTATGGAATTAACAGTTTTACAGATAATACTGACTCTTAACACACTTTCATCCCTATATATAGTTTCCATATCTTTGTGTTTAGCTTCTGCAATTTAATACACTGTTTTGCATTGCTGTTCTGGTGACTGTGTCTTAGTGCACCCCTGTTTGTGATCTAACATCATTATTAAAGTTGTTTTCTGAGCATTTAATAAATCTAATGCATTTTGTTTGCAGGCCCCAGAAGGTGAATCTCAGCCTATGACTGAGGTGGACCTCTTTATCTCTACGCAGAGAATAAAAGTGTTGAATGCAGACACACAGGTATAGGCACAGATGTGCTCTTGCCGGGGCTGGACTTTGTCAGTTTGTAGTAGTGGTCAATTCTGTTAAACTGTTATTGAAAGATATCATGATACAACATTGCAAATAGTTTTGTGCCATAATATATTAGTTATGAATGTGTCTTAGATATTTTTTCCAGTATAAAGGCTGAACTTCTCTAATCTGGCACTCTCTAGTCTGGCAACATCCATGGCCCAACATGATTTTAGTTAGTAAGATGTCCACTTATCATGGGTGTGGTCAAGTTTCTTGTGATCCCATAAAGTTTGTTTACAACCACCAGTCCTGGCTCTCAGTTTTCTGTGCTGTTATTTAGCTCTAATTTACCCCTAAAAGTCTTCCAAGAGCCCAGTAGGCAGTGGGAGTTTTGGTAATACTGCTAGACAATATTGACCTCCCCTGATTTGGCAAATTCTCTGGTTCAGCATCGTTCAGGTCCTGACGGTGCCAGACTAGAGAGGTGTAATTGGTATTACTTAAAAAGCTTAGCTGAGGTTGCTAATTCCAGGTCCTCCTCTGTGTATGTTCAGACCTGCTTTATGGGATCTGTGTATTTGGAGTTTTTTTACCCACTAAATATAATGGCCATTCATTTTTTTTAAATGGGAATTTCAATCCATTTGCTGGAACTGACATTGATGGTTCTATTTTATCACATCTTTTCATATATTAACTCGTGTGTATTTACTTACAATTGTTCTCAATTTATTTATATAATGCCAAAACCATGTTAAGCATTTGTTCAAAGTGAGCACTGATCTCAAAATTTCTCTTCCTCAGGAAACCATGATGGATCATCCTCTGAGGACCATTTCCTACATTGCAGATATAGGGAACATTGTTGTGCTGATGGCTCGGCGGCGAATGCCTCGATCTAATTCCCAGGACAATGTGGAGGCATCTCACCCCTCTCAGGATGGAAAGAGGCAGTACAAAATGATTTGCCATGTCTTTGAATCTGAGGATGTAAGGAACTATCTTATTCCATTATTTTGTTATGCTTGAGAATCTGAGAACCATTTGTCAGGATATCATTGAAGTCTATGGTTGATGGTTCTGTTTGGTTTTTAGTTACGTAAAAAGAATTAATCTAGAAAGAGGAACTCTTTTGCCTTTGGCAGATTGGGCCCTTTTGCTTGGTTGTCATCATTAACAAAGAAACTATATTTAGAAACACAGACTTTTGTTTTCGTGTGCTTTATTTTTTTTCTTAACGGAAGACATTGAGATCTTTAAATACTAGCTGCTGCCATCGCTAGTTTTGCTAGCTGAGGATCTACCCCTGAGAGTCAGCATTCATCACAGTAATTTGTTTTCAAGGGGAGTTGTAACCTTGAACGTTACTGCTAGGATCATAAATGCATATAAGGGTGATGCAGCTAGGCCTTTATTGTCCTTGAGGATGCTGCTGTTGGGCAGGATACACTGAAAACATTTTAGGAAATCCAGTCAGTGATATCGTATGTACACTTCCAAAGTAGTTTGCATGCAGCCACTCTCCAAGCAGACCTCTATAGTGGTAGGTTATATATTGTCCATAGTCATTTAATTTATGAGTATCTCAATTGAATTTTTGATTCAGGACCAGAGTTGTTACTGTGTTTTCCGCTGCTTTGAAAGATGCAAAGCAGCTGTAAACCCTTTTTTAAGTAGCCAGTTAAACTGGGTTCATGACATTGTGAGAGGACAGTAGAAAGCAGATACCCTTGTCTACCACTAAGTGGTGCATTGAGTTGTGTCTGTTAATCTGCCACTGGGTCCTCTCTTGTCTAGGCCCTGACCACTTGGGGAAATATACCAGTCCACACAATTCTCCAATTGTGTATGTTTTTAAGTAACTTGTAAAATATAATTAAACACATGGTCAAATCCAAATTTAAAATAAAATGCATTATTATAAAATAATCAATCATGTTAATTAATATCAAATAAATAATGATTCTGTGAACTTTATCTAGTAATGTGGGAAGTTAGCGTATCTTATTTAGCTGTCACCCAATTATTCTGCAGGCTATTTTCAATATCAGAGGCAACTATTATACTTATTCCAGTCAAATGGCTGCTACAAGGAGGGACAGATCACTCTTATGTTTAAATTAATGGTTAGACAACAGCTCTTCTGCCAGTTAACGTAATCTGCCCACATTATAAATGGATAGGTGATAATCTATTTCTGTTCCCTGCTCCCTGAATGTAGGTTTATAGGAAACATTCCAAAACAATTTAGAAAGACACAGTTTGTTGCATTTAGGTGAAAATAATGCACCTACCAACCTATAAATATATGTGTGAGATCTTGTAGACAGCAAGGTTATTTAACCAAGGTCATTTTTTAGATATTTGAGAAACTATTCTCTAGGTATCACTCTCAGATAAATTTTGTGAGGTCTATACACGAGCACGGACCACTACCAGTCACCTGCTAGAAGAAAGACAAGTGCGAGAACGCTGAAGTTGAGGCATCCTTCTACTACTAAAAATCGGAAAAAAGAAAAAAAAAAGATATTTATACAGGATGGCTGCTGTGAGACTTGTGATTTCCTTCAACTCCAGGAAACTGGTATATGCCTAAAAAAAGATCAGTCAGTGGTTTTCTCTGCTCGTCAGGTAAATGTCAGTGGAATTCGGATTGGTTATAGACTGCTTGCTTACAAATGTCAAATAATGGATGTTGAGCATTTTGCTAGACTCCTAGCCCACATTGACCAACTAAGAACAGAGAAAGCACAGGTCCCTTTATCAGGCATGGTGGCATCACATGGCAAGGGGGCAGAAGCAATTTTTTTTCCTTCAAGTTATGAAGGAGATGATCAGGCTGATTGCCCATGGAACTACTACTCAGTAATTAGTTGGCAAATCAGATGGGGCACTCCCCTTCTGAAGTCATTGGTGTCACCTAATGAGGTCCGATCAGGTCACATTTATGCAGATCACGATCATCCCTCCTCACCCCCATGTGTAACATGTGTAACTGTTAGCTTGGAAAGTCCTAAATGTGAGGAGATCCAAAATGTGTTAGTAGTCAGGAGATCTGACAGTATTTTGAGACATTTGAGGAGACATGGTCAGCTGTACTCAGTCTTGGGTTACATGACGTTATTTCAACCATTCTGTAAAAGTTCTGATTCGAATCCAAAATAAATTGGAAAAAATACTAGGCTATCTAAAAAATTAGAACTTTATCTATTAGAAGTAAAGAGCCCATGGGAATATTATCTTAATCTTACGTCTGTTCATGTGTATTCTAATCTAATTTTCTCTTCTCCAGAAGGGGACAGTTAGGTAGCCCTAGAAGCATTGTTTTAGAATGATCTTGCTCTACCCAACTGCTAATTGGGCAATCCTTACATCATCAAACATTTTGATGCTAGCCAAATTTCTCCTTTAAATTGCCCACTCTATTGGAATATATTTTGTGCAAATCCTAGAGAGACTGATATGTTCGAGCAAGCGTCGGAAGAAACTATGTCACTCTTTCAGCTGCTTCTGCAGGAGCAATTGACTAACACATAATTTTTTTTCCAGATTATGGTAGTATGGTCTACAAACTGCATGCCCAAACAATTTAAAGTGGTGTTTTAATTTTAGCAGGATTAAACACAGGGGAATGGAGTATTGAATACTTAAATGAAAAAGGATAATCAGTAGGAAAGTGAGTTTTTTGAGTTTCTAATAAGCTATTTTAAGCAGTGAAGACTAAACTACTGGTAAAGGGCCAAATTTTCACAGGAGCTCAAGGCCAGGTTCCCAATTTTTCAGCATCACAATCAGGGCCAGATTTTCAAAAAAGCTTAATACTCAAAATCTAGCTATTTATTGTCATGTTTAGATGAGAGCTGAACTCCTATGCAAATCTGGCCCTGTATGCATGTGTGTGCACACACAAGCATAATTGAGACAGTGCCCTCATAAGTGCCAGTGATCATCTGTTGTCATCAGTGAACATATGCACCAGGTGAGAGCAGTTTAAGATGCTATCCAGGTGGGCAAGAGGTAGCAGGTACAAATATGAGCAAGAAGACTTTGCAAGAAAAAGGAGGAACAGATATTGTTTTAAGTGGCATCTTTTCCCGATAGATGTGTTCATGTGTTGCTAGCATGTGAGAGATGGGCACTGTTTGTTGCTAGAGGGCAGAGCAGCTCAGTTGTTGCCTGTGTTGCTCAAGAGGCAAGGATGATGGCTAATGTTAAACACAGAGGGTTTTCTTCAGTTCTCATTAGTGAAAGGAAGACAACGCTCTGGCTGGGAATATTTAGTTGGGATTGATCCTGCTTTTAGCGGGGGGGTTGGACTCAATAACCTCCAGAAGTCTCTTCCAACCCTATGATTCTATGATCTGCTACTGTTGCTTTTCAGTTCTGACAGTTTGCCTTGCTGGGCTAGTTAGTTTTAAGGGACGAGGATAAGATTACATTTGGTTTCTTTGCTGGGAAGCAAGGAGGGTTGTGGGGGGGAGGGGGTTATTTATTTATTTTGTCAAGTACCTGGAGCTCGGGATAGAGGTTCTTTTTATCCATACCTAAATTAAAATAAACAGACACGCAATGGGTTAGAAGCTGGTTGTTAGCATTATAATTTTTATTAAAAGACAAAAAATGAAATTGGTTTTAAAGTTGCTTAATTGATATGGGGGAAATATGTACAGCATGACTGTAACTCAGAAAGTGTTGGCCCACAAGCAATGTTATGTATTTAATGTTTTCCTTTTCTTTCTGGGGTTGGGGGGGGGGGCCTGCAGGCACAGCTGATTGCACAATCCATAGGTCAAGCATTTAGTGTGGCCTACCAGGAATTCTTGAGGGCCAATGGAATAAATCCAGAAGACCTGAGCCAGAAAGAGTACAGTGACCTGCTCAACACCCAAGACATGTACAACGATGACCTCATCCACTTCTCCAAGTCTGAAAACTGCAAAGATGTACGTCCCAGTCTTCTTATCGTAGTAGCATTAGACTGATCTGTCCCAAAGGCAAGCTAATACTGGGAGCAATTAGAAAGCCATTCATGTGTCCCACAAATCACTTTCATCCGGTCAGGCTAGAACACTCTCCTGCCCAGTAGGAAACCCAGTGGCCATTCTGTTTGAAGAGTGAATTGTTGAACTGAGAGTTCATTAGTGTTACTGTGATTTGCCATCTGTTCTGTGCTGTTTTACCAAACGATTTTGAAATCTGCGGGACACTGCACGTCAGTAAAAGGAGCTTAAAACATGCTGTTGGTTTAACAAATTATATACACTTTATGGAGACATTAGGATTGGTGAAAACATTTTCTCTGAGTTTGTTTTAAAACAGCAATTATACACACATACAGCTTTATTGATAAAGATGAACCAGTGTAGCATTAATCCAGTCTGTCGTCAACAGCACATTTTCACTGTTATAGTCCTACCTGCAGCACCCCATCACCGCCACCTCCTGTGAGACCCTGGGGTCTGGATGGTCAAACCAGGTGGCCAGAATGAAGGTCGAAGCTGTTGTAGGGTTGGGAAAGAGCCAAGGACTTGGTGAAACCAAAGAACGTCCTTAGGCCAGAACTGGTGTCAGAGTCCATAGACAAGCCAGATCAAGCGTGTAGTCAGAGGCAGGGAGCAAGCCAATGCTCAAAGCTGGGCTGTGTCATGCCAGGAGTCTCAGGATCAAGAGTCAAGGCCAGAGCTAGAGCAGGGCCCTGGATAGGACACTGACAATGCAGGGAGCAGGAACAGGCAGAGGTCAGGATCAAGGGCAGGCTGGAACCCTAGGGAGTCTGTAACATTTTGAGACAGTAGGAGCGTCCCTTGTTGAGTAGTGCTTTTCCACAGACTAAATTGCAGTAAAGATGAAATACCTGTGCCTTTGGGCTATCTCACCTGGGCCCTGCTGGGGAACAGGCTGCTGTAGTATGTCAGAAGGCTGAGTCACAGTAGGCTTTGCTGGAGGGGTGTGAGTCACTCTATCTACATAAGCAGCCCTGGTCCAGCAGCAGGTTTGCCTTACGCTCCTCTGCCTCCTGCCTTTTATGTTTTCTTTTGAGATAAAACATAATATATTGACTTATTTCAAGTAAGAAAAAAAAAATAGAAATTGTTAGCACATCTGTTTCATTGGTTTTTACCTTGGCATTAGAAAGAGAAGTTGTATGTGTCTCTGTTAGTGTCTTTGTAAATGTAGGTATGTACACAGGCTGTGTTCTATACCTGAGCATATTATCTGTTTTTGAAACTGTATTTCTGTCTCCTAATGTAGGTTTACATTGAAAAGCAAAAGGGAGAAATTCTAGGTGTTGTGATTGTAGAATCTGGCTGGGGCTCCATCCTGCCCACAGTTATCATAGCCAACATGATGCATGGAGGACCGGCAGAGAAGTCTGGAAAGCTGAACATAGGGGATCAGATCATGTCAATTAATGGTACAAGCTTGGTCGGCTTACCACTCTCAACATGCCAGAGTATTATAAAGGTACAGGGAATGTTCTTAAATGTTACATATTTAAAAACTGTATGGGAATAGTGGAAGATAATAAAGATGTAAATTAAAGACATTATTATCTAACCACACTCATAATTTTGCTTCTTTATAGCAATTTCTATCTGATGATTTCAAAGAACTTTGCAAATGCTAATTAAGTAAGCCTAGCAGGCCCCTGTGAGATGAGAAATATCAATATCCCCATTTTACAGAGGGTGAAATGAAGATGCAGCGCTTTGACTTGCCTAAATTCAAATAAAATGTTTGGCAGAGCTGAGAATAAAAGATTGGTTCTACCTCTAGTTCTATGTGTTAATTACAAGACTATCCTTGCCACCTTGGCCTTACTTCGTGTTTCATCATTCACGAAGATCAAAACTATTCAGAGAAAAAGGGCTGAGTTGTGAAGCCATATCTCAGTCTTGAGCAAAACTTCCACTGAACTTCCACCTGACTTGAGTAAGAGCTGAAAAAAGGGATCTTGGAATTTGACCCTGTGCGCTAAGACTGATAAAACATTGGATAAAAAATTGGGAAATTTAGGTTTTTAAACTATAAAATGTATTTGTCTTCTGTATAAATATGGAGTTAACTTGTGGATGTTTGAATGTGTAGTTGACCTAGCTATGCTATGGGTCATTTAATTTTTTCTAATTTATATGAGTATGTAATTGGAAAAAGCAGGCATGTCAACTGGAAAAGAAGAACCTCTAGAGTAGCTGTAAGAGAATGGGAATGTAATCATCACTGTTTCATGGAAAGAAAATGATTCATCGATTGAGAGTATCACAGGCACAACTAAATTGAAACAAATAGCTACCCTACCCCAATGTACTGCATGGTTTATAGGTTACATAGGGTATGTCTACACTACAGAGGATGATTGAAGCTGACACTGTCATTCTTGTTGAGTTCAAATTAGCAGGTCTACTCTGGTCAATGCCAGTATCCCTGCTTTCATGAGGAATAAGGGAAGTTGAAGGAAGAGTGTTCCTTCCTTTCCTGCAGTGTAGACTGCGCCAAAAGCTGAGTTAAGCTACTTTGACTTCAGCTACTCCAGTGGTCACCAACCAGTAGATCTACTGGTGGATCTTGGAGCCTTTGACAGGTGATCCTGACAGGATTGACCAGGAGGCTATCAAGTGCTGGCACTTCATCTGCCCTACTCAGCACTGCCGTGCTGCTCCTGCCCTCTGCCTCGGAGCTGCTCCTCACTCCTGGGAGCCTCTTGCTTGCTGTGCAGGGAACAGGAAAAAGAGGAGCGGGTACTGATGTCAGGGTGCATAATCTTATCCTCCCAAGCTCTTGCAACTCCTCCCAGCTTGGTGTTGTCCACATTAATAATTAGGACAAATTCATTTAGGATTATGCTGGCATATTCATGACCCATTCAGGTTGAAGTTCTACCCTGAAGATGGAAGAAGGTTGGAGCAGCAGAAACTGGCTGCATCCTTACTTCTGGAAGCCCAAAATTGGGAGCATCTCACCAAGACAGAAACCTAAGTGGGCCCTGATTTAGCCTCTGCTGTCATTGAGGCTGCATACAAGATCACAGCTGAAAACTACGTCTTCTCCCACCTAAAAGGAAAGAAGGAAACAGCAAAAATAATCCTGTGTGTCCTGGGGTAAATAACTACCTTGAAGGCAAAGGTCTGTAGCTAGCACAGGGAGGTGCAATTGTTAAGGAATTCCCATTTCACCTTTAACCAGATATTTTGTTACCAGACCTCTTACTGTTCTCACTTTTGTTATGCTTATTCCCCATTCTGCACCACTTATTTCCAAAAGTGTAATTATTTGCAGGTCTAGCACATAGAATGTGCTTCAGAACACTCCTCCTCCACCAGAATCCTTCCAAACAGACAACTGTGGTGGTGTCTTTAGAATTTCCCTTGTGCTTCTCCAAGGAGAGTACGACCACTATCTCATTGCTATGGAGATCTTATTCCGACACATGCTGCTATCTCTTTTTTTGTTGCCACATTTGTTGTCATGGGGACTACTGGGCCGTTAATGTTGTCCTTCCAATGAGAAGATGACCCATAGATTGCTGAGAAGAACTGCAAAATTATTGGAAGCTGTTCATACATCACTTCTGAATTACATGCAAAAAATAGATATATATTACTTTTAATTCAGAACTAATGTCTGAACAGCTCCAGCTAGATTGCGGTAAGGCATTGCAAACTTATGGGTCATCTCGTCATTGGAAGGACAAAATTAATGACCCACATAAATATATTATTGGCCAAAATAAATACTTAGAGGATACACAAGGATCATAACATTGCAAAAGTTCTTTAATATGGTATGAACAGGGCTGCACTCCAAATTGAACATGTATGTAAATAATGAAAATACCCACAATATTAGGATTTTTTTTAAAATGCGAGATTCAAACCCGTATACTAATCAACCATAAACTAAGTGCTAACTGATGGATTAAAAAGAAACTTTCTTGTTTGGAATGGCTATTCCATGTCTTATGTTGCTTTCACCTTTTTCTGAAGCATGTGATGCTGACCATGGTCAGACAGATTCAGGACTTCATGGACCACTGCATTAATCTAGCATATTTCTATTCCTATTGGCATAGAATACCAGCAAATAAAATATTATGAACAGACATGTCTAAGAGATGCATTAGTTCTGTAAAATTTAGAAATTGCTCACAACGAGCCTATGTTCTTATTTTTTAAAAGATATCCACAAGAGCGCAAACACAAATAAATGCAAACTGAATATTTACTCTTTTCTTGTTTCTGTGTATGTAGCCATATAGGCCAATTGCCCTATACAGGCAGTCCCCGGGTTACATGGATCCGACTTACAGCGGATCCCTACTTACAAACGGGGTGAGGCAACCCCGCACTAGCTGCTTCCCCCCAGCAGACCAGGGAGACGCGAAGCTAGCGCCCCCCCCCCCAGCAGACCAGGGAGACGTGGAGCGGCTTTTCTCAGCAGACACCTCAGCTTGAGAATAAAGGACTGAGGGAAGTGAGGTGTGGGAGAATAAAACTGAGCTCTGGAGAAATGTTTGGCTAGAGTTTCCTCTACAATATGTACCAGTTCCGACTTACATACAAATTCAACTTAAGAACAAACCTACAGTCCCTATCTTGTACGTAACCTGGGGACTGCCTGTACTTAGTTGATGATAACTGATTCTGGCTAGTGTATGCATCACAAACAGTAAATAAAACAACTACCAGATTAATGGAATGAAGTAGAGCAAAAAATACTTGAGGCCTTGTGTTTTGTTGAGAGCCAGCTGGCAGTGGAACTGCTTCTTCTCACTTCATAATCTCATTTGCTTTGGTTCCCAAAGCAGCATGTCCTCTTATAGCCAGCCTGTGTTGGCTTGATTAACAAACCATGCTGAGTACGGAGCTATTTAGAGACCAGAGAAACGAAATTCTTTGGCACTCTTTCTTTAGGATTTGGCCTCCCACCCCTGAGTGGGTGCATACAGCTGCCATAAATATAAATAAGCAGTTTGACACAGTTGTCAGGAGAATAGACCTTCTTGGAGCGATTGGTGAGAGGGTTGAATGGATCTCTACTTAACATAAGCTCCCAAGTAAGCATCCCTTTCCTTAAAATCAAATTGAATGTAGACACTTTCTCTTCTCCATTAAAGAATGAGAAATTTAAGAAACTGTTTTAAATTGCACTTGATTGTATTTGCATATTAATAGAAAAATAATTATGAACTCCATTAATCCAAAGGGAATACTTTGGTTACTTCCTGTTTTAAAAAAAATAGGTTAGAGCTTGTAGATCAATATGGGGCAATTAACAAAACATCTTAGATTTAGCAGATTGACTTCAGGCATCTTCCCCATTTGTATTGTAATGTAGGCACAGATTGACTTCCAAACTAATCTAATCTCAGAAGGGAAGCCATCTAGTTCTGTCTACTGGAGATCTGTCCTCCCTCCCACCTCAACCTTTCCTCGTACAGAGAGGTGAATGAAGATTTCCTTCTCGTTTTTGGACTTCTCTGCTTACTTGGTGATGGACTGCCATGCACTTCAGAGTTGTTCCAAAAGCTATTTGCCCTGGCAGAATGGCATAGACACTCAAGTACTGGGTCTTGCAAAGAGAAGCCTTACAACATGAGCAAAAAGAAACCATATGTGGAAGCATGAGGATGTCAGTATAACTCCCTGTACAAATCAGGAAATCTTTTCCAACTATTAGTACTATCCTAGTCCTATTGAATTCAGTAGCAGACAAACCCTGGAATGTTTAATACTAGGGTAGCTACCAGCTTCTTAGGCCATGTCTTCACTCTGTGGAGTTTGATTTAGTGAGTCTAGATAAAACTCACTAAATTAAATTCAGAGGGTGCCCCCGATGGTGTCCGGTACTCTTGTGCTTGTGAGGAGTAAGGGAAGCCAATGGGAGCATTTGTTCCCACCGTCGTCCTGCTGTGGAGGTGCCGCCAAGCTCGGCTTAAGGTAAGACAACTCCTGATTTGCATACCTTAATCTGAGCTTCTGGGGCTAGTGTAGACCTTGCCTTAGGCATTATCATAACTTTCCTTTTTTGCTAGGGATTGTGGTTGTTGGAGGTGGTCTTTTATCATAATTTAGTGAATTACAGATTAGTTAGTTCTGAGTGTTGCCTGGATGTTTATACAGTATTCTAGTACAGAGAAATATATTCTGTTCTGGAAGAAGAAAGATACGTTCTTTCTGAGGGAAAGTCAGAGAAGATTAGGGGGGTTGATCTACAGGAAAAAGCTGTGAGAAGTTCAAAACGTACACAGGTCAGATATATGCAGTCATGTTCAGCTTTGATAATGCTTTATTGCAGGGGAGCCGACAGTCTGCATGAGCCCTTGTGCAAGGTTGGGGGAGCTGGTTCCACGTTCCCGAAAGGGGCAATGCCTTGGGAGGAAGGGTGGAGTTGGGGCAGCCAGCCCTCCCCCAACCCTCAGAGCTGCCAACAGTGCACAGTGAGGTGCACCAGGGACATTTTAAAGAGCACAGGGCTATAGCTACTGCTTCTGTAGCAGCGGCTGCGGCTGGGAGCCCCAGACCTCTTTGTATTGCTTGGTCCCAGAGCAACTGCCCCCTTTCCTCCCTCCTCCCTGTTAGCAGGTCTGCTTTGCTGGGGTAACCAAACATTTAAGGATGAATGTGATACTCCCAGTTTAGAAAGGGGAGTCTCTGAGAATTGCTTTTACTAGCATTAAATGGACAGGAGTTAAGTAAATTCTGCCTTTTGCATTGCAGAATTAAATGGCACATCCAGAAAAGCTACTTGTTTGCATCTTAAATGCATATTTTAAGATTTTTTTCTTCACAACATGATAGGTAACAGTTTTTAGCTTCATTGTACAGACCTACTTCTTGTTTTCCCTTCTGCTTTTTGTAAAATAATGTTCTATGATCCAAAATAAAGAAATTGCCAACATGATGTCTAATTTCTTGGCAGTTTAAAATGAACATGTCAAATTGTTGACAACTAGAGGTTGACATTGCATCATTCAGTTAGCAAGTTGTCATATTGCCTGTCTCTGGTACTTATTAGAATACCTATTTTGTAATGATGAATACTTAGCAAACTGCTCTTCAGTATTATTTCGATGTTAGCTTTCAAACTATTATTCTTTTTCAGTGCCACTTTTTCACCTGTCTTAGTACACCTGCACCCACACTTGTCATGGTATGTCTATATTTTTTAAAGGGTTTGAAAAACCAGGCCCGGGTTAAACTGAATATAGTGAGATGTCCTCCAGTAACCACTGTCTTGATCAGAAGACCTGACCTCAGATATCAGCTGGGTTTCAGTGTACAGAATGGGATCGTAAGTAGCTTTCACAATCCTGAAGTATCTACTATGATGATTTTATAGCTATGAAAATTTTTGGCAAATCTCTCAGCTCTCCCAAGAGCTACGTACACATTTTGATTAGAAGACACAAAAACTGACTTATCCAAAAATGTATTACCTCCTCTATATCCGATCCTTCTTTGCAAGTCAAAAGCAGGAAAAGATACTTTTATTTAAAGTATAAAGTCAACCATAGGAATAGAAAGGATATTTTAAGCTAAAGAACCAAAAGGTCCATGGGACAAGTTGTGCACAGGCTGGATCTAACTGACACGTTGCAGGTCTTGTAAGAAAGAGTCTTCTTTACAATCAGAGAAAATAAAAAACCATACATTTCTCCCTTTCACATACATAAGCTCCTATGGACCTATGCAGTCTCCTACATTTTTAAAGTGCCAGTGTCTAGAGGTTTAATATGAGTAATTTTCAGTAGCCAACTTACTTTGTTTGTTTTTATGCACTGAGGGGAAGAGTTGTTCATTATATTCCTTAAGCCTAGTACTGACTTGGTTGCAGTTGTTCTAGTACTATTCCATTTTACCCTCATTGGTGTTTCACTATGTATTAAAAAAAAAAAACCTCCTTTACACTTTGGAGACTTGAGTGTTTAATTTTAGAGTTTGTAATTTGTGAACAAACCTCCGTTGTTTTACAATGTAACATGCTTAGCATTGATAACTTTGCCCTTTCCCTTCATAAGATCTGTAGCCTTATGAGAGGAGGTATAGCAGAGCGAGGAGGAGTGCGAGTGGGCCATCGGATCATTGAAATCAACGGACAGAGCGTTGTAGCAACACCCCATGAAAAAATCGTTCACATTCTCTCAAATGCTGTTGGTGAGGTAGGTACTGGATAGATAATATTACACATTTCAACACCATTGCCTCTTGCTGACTGCTACTATCCAAATATTGGAACCGTCGTCCTGCTGTGGAGGTGCCGCCAAGCTCGGCTTAAGGTAAGACAACTCCTGATTTGCATACCTTAATCTGAGCTTCTGGGGCTAGTGTAGACCTTGCCTTAGGCATTATCATAACTTTCCTTTTTTGCTAGGGATTGTGGTTGTTGGAGGTGGTCTTTTATCATAATTTAGTGAATTACAGATTAGTTAGTTCTGAGTGTTGCCTGGATGTTTATACAGTATTCTAGTACAGAGAAATATATTCTGTTCTGGAAGAAGAAAGATACGTTCTTTCTGAGGGAAAGTCAGAGAAGATTAGGGGGGTTGATCTACAGGAAAAAGCTGTGAGAAGTTCAAAACGTACACAGGTCAGATATATGCAGTCATGTTCAGCTTTGATAATGCTTTATTGCAGGGGAGCCGACAGTCTGCATGAGCCCTTGTGCAAGGTTGGGGGAGCTGGTTCCACGTTCCCGAAAGGGGCAATGCCTTGGGAGGAAGGGTGGAGTTGGGGCAGCCAGCCCTCCCCCAACCCTCAGAGCTGCCAACAGTGCACAGTGAGGTGCACCAGGGACATTTTAAAGAGCACAGGGCTATAGCTACTGCTTCTGTAGCAGCGGCTGCGGCTGGGAGCCCCAGACCTCTTTGTATTGCTTGGTCCCAGAGCAACTGCCCCCTTTCCTCCCTCCTCCCTGTTAGCAGGTCTGCTTTGCTGGGGTAACCAAACATTTAAGGATGAATGTGATACTCCCAGTTTAGAAAGGGGAGTCTCTGAGAATTGCTTTTACTAGCATTAAATGGACAGGAGTTAAGTAAATTCTGCCTTTTGCATTGCAGAATTAAATGGCACATCCAGAAAAGCTACTTGTTTGCATCTTAAATGCATATTTTAAGATTTTTTTCTTCACAACATGATAGGTAACAGTTTTTAGCTTCATTGTACAGACCTACTTCTTGTTTTCCCTTCTGCTTTTTGTAAAATAATGTTCTATGATCCAAAATAAAGAAATTGCCAACATGATGTCTAATTTCTTGGCAGTTTAAAATGAACATGTCAAATTGTTGACAACTAGAGGTTGACATTGCATCATTCAGTTAGCAAGTTGTCATATTGCCTGTCTCTGGTACTTATTAGAATACCTATTTTGTAATGATGAATACTTAGCAAACTGCTCTTCAGTATTATTTCGATGTTAGCTTTCAAACTATTATTCTTTTTCAGTGCCACTTTTTCACCTGTCTTAGTACACCTGCACCCACACTTGTCATGGTATGTCTATATTTTTTAAAGGGTTTGAAAAACCAGGCCCGGGTTAAACTGAATATAGTGAGATGTCCTCCAGTAACCACTGTCTTGATCAGAAGACCTGACCTCAGATATCAGCTGGGTTTCAGTGTACAGAATGGGATCGTAAGTAGCTTTCACAATCCTGAAGTATCTACTATGATGATTTTATAGCTATGAAAATTTTTGGCAAATCTCTCAGCTCTCCCAAGAGCTACGTACACATTTTGATTAGAAGACACAAAAACTGACTTATCCAAAAATGTATTACCTCCTCTATATCCGATCCTTCTTTGCAAGTCAAAAGCAGGAAAAGATACTTTTATTTAAAGTATAAAGTCAACCATAGGAATAGAAAGGATATTTTAAGCTAAAGAACCAAAAGGTCCATGGGACAAGTTGTGCACAGGCTGGATCTAACTGACACGTTGCAGGTCTTGTAAGAAAGAGTCTTCTTTACAATCAGAGAAAATAAAAAACCATACATTTCTCCCTTTCACATACATAAGCTCCTATGGACCTATGCAGTCTCCTACATTTTTAAAGTGCCAGTGTCTAGAGGTTTAATATGAGTAATTTTCAGTAGCCAACTTACTTTGTTTGTTTTTATGCACTGAGGGGAAGAGTTGTTCATTATATTCCTTAAGCCTAGTACTGACTTGGTTGCAGTTGTTCTAGTACTATTCCATTTTACCCTCATTGGTGTTTCACTATGTATTAAAAAAAAAAAACCTCCTTTACACTTTGGAGACTTGAGTGTTTAATTTTAGAGTTTGTAATTTGTGAACAAACCTCCGTTGTTTTACAATGTAACATGCTTAGCATTGATAACTTTGCCCTTTCCCTTCATAAGATCTGTAGCCTTATGAGAGGAGGTATAGCAGAGCGAGGAGGAGTGCGAGTGGGCCATCGGATCATTGAAATCAACGGACAGAGCGTTGTAGCAACACCCCATGAAAAAATCGTTCACATTCTCTCAAATGCTGTTGGTGAGGTAGGTACTGGATAGATAATATTACACATTTCAACACCATTGCCTCTTGCTGACTGCTACTATCCAAATATTGGAAATGAGAATATGATTAAACCAGGTTTACTGTTAACATGTTTTTATAGATTTTTATTAGCAAGCCTGCTTGAGAGGCCCTGAGTGACCATAGTTCCTATTAATGTCAGCAATGTTTGCAAGAGCTCAACATCTCTCAGCATTGTGCTGTAATAAGACTTAGAATGGGCATGAAAAACTCACTGGTTTTATATTTCCCCTGTACTATGTCACTGGCGCTAATTCCTTCTCCTTGTCTCAGGCCATTTTCTCCTTTCCACATTCATAAGATCTAAGCATGAAAGCGCACAAAGCCTTTTATTACCTTAGTTCTGCAGCATGTACATGAGGAGCATTGACTGACTTGTTTTGTTTCCACCCAGATTCATATGAAGACCATGCCAGCGGCCATGTACAGATTGTTGACTGCACAGGAGCAGCCAGTTTACATCTAAGGCTGATACCTCACCTTCACAACATGCATGGAGGATGTTTCTCCTCATTAGTGGTTGTGTTTCTAGTCCTGCATTTCTGTGTCTTCAGAGACATCTCTCTCGCTCTCTCTTTCTCTCTCTCCAACATTTTGCTGTGTACAGGTAAAAGGTTTCCAGAAGATGTTTTTTTGCTGCATCTTTTTACAAGTTATAAGCTTTCTGTAATTCCTCACAGAACAGAAAAATAGCTGTTATTCACAAGTAGTTTAACAAAGGACTCATTGCACTTTTTTAAGTGCCACCATCAGTTGTATTTGAATGGCCATAACTGGACCACACAAAAACATGAATTATTATGAAATTAGAATGCTTAACAAACAGATTGAACCACACAGGAAAGTTCTCCTCTTGGACTCCCCATAGAGGATTTGGACACCATTGTACTGTTCTGTGTGCGATGAGCTTAACGTTACCAACGAAGGGTTCTACACACACAAGGAGAGCAAAGAACCAAGGGGACAGTTTTGCCCTAAAGGAGGAGTTAAATGCCTGTGAAGACTGAGTTAATGAATAAGTGATGTTGTGGTAAAACTCATAATTCAGACACACATCTTTTAATTTTCTTGAACATTCATTCTTTAGGCTCATATAACCTGAAAGTAAGAGTTCCATTGTCTTCACTAAACAGTACTATAGAGGGTACTTTCACCATTTGATCTCCCAGGTATATGAGTCTTTTTTTTCCTCTTTGGGGGGAAAAAAAATCTCACTTCATTTTTGGATGCAGGATATCTTTTATATTCTCCTTCCTACTTCAGACAGAGGAGAAAGTTAAGTGGCCTATAAATATCCAGCAACAATTGTATTGTGGGGACTTCTGCTGAAAATCTAAATACACAATTTCTCGTGTGTGTGTGTGTGTGTGTGTGTGTGTGTGTGTGTGTGTTTAAAACTATGCTTGAACTTTGAACAAAAATAGGTCTGCATACAGTTCTAAGTAATTTTGTTACTCTGAGCCAGTATTAACATATCTTTGGTCCAAAGATTGTTTAATTTTAATGACTCTTTTTTTTATTATTATTATTTAGCTCATGATCTGGATAACAGGGAGGGAGGTGGAATGGGAATGAGGAAAAATTAATTTATTTGTAATATATATACATAGCTATAAAGTTAATCCATGGTTGTCCATATGTAGGATGTTAAAGGGTATTTATGTACTTGTACAATGAAAAAGAGGGTTAAAAAATGCTATGGTGGGGTGCATGATGTCAAGGAGTTATATGGGCTATAAATTTTGGAAAGTGGAGGGAGAAAAAAAGAAATAGTAATAGTGGAAGTGACTCTTCTTGCTCCCATGTACAGTAGTTATGTTCCATTAGTCCTATGTACTCACATTTAAGCTCATTATAGAATCATGAATTTAGACCAGTTGGATGCCTTTAAATTGATCAAAAGCAACAGCTTTTGCTACATTTTATTACGACACACCGATTTAAAATGATGAAAATACAGCAATGCTGGGGGAGTTCTGCAGTTTTACTGTGACTCCAAATGTAACAACTGCAGAATTCCCCCAGGACTAATATAGGAGCAGGACAAAACAAAAAATCTCATCCCTCTTTTTTGGGGAGGTGGTGGGGGAAAGTGACAGCCATGAACAAATCTCATTTAATGAGGAATGGATTGTGCAGTATGAGCACTGTGGCTGTAGACTGGAGATGACTTTTTGGAATTGTTCGCATAGGTTTCGTAGATCACACGTGCGTGCATTTCCATTATTAAGTGAGCTGTGAAAACTCTGCCTTTGTCCAATCACTTAGTTCCAGCTGGTTTCAGGAGCCTAATTTCCCTTCCAAAACAGTGGACTGAGTAGAGAGAAAAAACATAAACGTTTTATTCCAACTGGCAGTGAATAGTGGAAATATTAGAGCAATAGTGGAATGCTGAGTAAGCTGTTGTAGTAAATGAATATGTTTGGTGTAAGAGTACTGTACAGTTCCTTGAGGTACAACAGTTCTTGTTGCTCTATAATCAAATCCCAGTCTCTGGAATAGCAAACTTTACAATGGTATAGTGGTGTTAATCCACATTAGTATTTGCTCTACCATCAGACAGATGCAAATCGATTGTGAATGACTAGTTAGTAGCGTTTTTAATGCCAGGCATATGGTTTATAAAGGTCATAGGAACAATTTTTTCATAACTTCCCATATGTATAGTTAATATATGTAAATATGATATATACCATGTATAATTTAGAAGATTATATACAGTGCAGCCTTTCCATAAGTTGCCTGAGTGAAAAGCTACTCTTGATAACATGGTTACCACACTGTTGGTTCCCAGCTTTGTTAACTCCCATATTAATTTTCTGCTTTTGTGGCTCCAGCCAACTCCCATTGAGGAATCTTTCCATCAACTTCAGTGGAAGATGGATTGAGCCCTCAATATACGAATATAGGGCTAAAACAGTGATAGAATCTTGAAACTAAGGGTCCAATCCTGAAAACACCTGTGCTTAACTTTAGGCATCTGAGTAACCCATTGATTTAATTGGGACTGCACATCCAAGTAAAAACTAAGCATGTGAGTGCAGGATTTGAGGCCTGAGAATGTGAATTAGTCTATTACAATAAACATATTGTGATTTCTAAACAAGGACAGAGAGATAGATAGAGTAAGCACTCCTAATGTAAACAGTCCCAGAAGTTTAGTCTGGAAAGAGAAAAAGTGTGTTTCAGAAATACAATGAACTCAAAAGGGAGAGTTGACTCCTTTGTAGTCTGTTGTTTTTTATGGATGTTTAAAAGATGTTAGAGCAGCTGTTTATGTTAGTATTTTAGATGAGTGAAATTCTCCATGGGTTGAAAGGAATAACCTACCATTTTACATTCCTTCTCTTCCGTGAAGGTCCTGCAAAGCCGTCCCTTCACTGTTTTTAGTACAATATTACTAACTTTTCAGTGTTTACATGAAGGATGAAATGTCCTTTAATTTTTTTTTGTAGGTTCCACACTTACTTGTTTCAATCTCTTTATAATTTAAAGCTTGGCTTGTATTTCTTGAGTGCAGTTTTTGTTTTAATTTTTCTAAATGAAATCTGTTTATGAAGATGGCAGTGTGGGTGAGATTTCTTGTATATATTTAGCACAGTATTTAGAATATGAAGTTTTACTATTGTTCTGTAAAGAGGGTGAATAGAAATTATTGTAAAGCGTTGGGAAAAGTATAGTAATGTATTTGTAACAATATTGTTCTTTGTAAACACTAAACTCAATCTCTATATATAAATATAAATATATATATAAATATATGTGAGCCTGGAATGTTGATACTTGCACATCTATTGAATGTAATTTCCTCTGACGTTTTTTGTCACAGGTCTCTGACCCTCGTCTGTAACGCAGCTCCAGTGGTTTGATTGATTTTTTTTTTTTTTTTTGGGCCAGCTGTTTTGTTGTGATGTATTTACTGTGCTACATTCCTTTATTTAATGGAGCACTAATGTCGGTAAGATTTGCAACAATAAAAAAACAAAACAAAAACAAACTGGGCATGGCTGAGACTTTGCTGATGTGATCATCAATATTGAATGAACATTTCTGGGAGGGAGTCCTTTACCCTACCCGGAGCAGTGTAGTTAAGATAACCTAAGTCCCTGTGTAGACAGCACTGGAAGGTGGAATACCCGTGCTGACAGGAGAATTCAGTCAATACAGGTAGTGTCTACACTGAAGGGATACAATGTCACTGTAGTGTTTTAAATGTGTTATCATAGAACTTTTTTATGTGCCCAAATTCTAATGACAACTTGAATATATAGAATACACTAGAGAAGCTGTAGAAGAAAAATTGAACTTGCAACTTCAGACATTGATCACTGATGTTAATATAAAAGTCTAACCTTGCCTTTACCTGTATTGGATATAGGCCACAACACCTCACCCACCACCTCATATGGGCCACAGAAGATTTCTTCCACTATCCACTACTCAGTGAACTGTAGATCCCACTCTTTGTCTTTTCACCCTCTCTGCTATAGCCAGAAACCTCACCCAAGGTAGCAGTTAGTTTTTACCGTGTACATCCAACACCGATGACAGACATTCCAGTTCTTTGCAACAATCTAGATCAGTTTCTCAACCTTTTTTTTTATAAAGTACCCTCTTTAAAAAAAAAAAAAAAAGTACCCCCAGTACCTACAGTTTTCAGACACACACAATTTTTCTCCCCCGTTGCAACACATTTGTTTAAACAACTTAATTGTAGCCGGGTGGGTGATTATTATTTTTACACCCAAAAATTTCAAGCGCTGTAAAACTTAAAACAAAATTCAGTTTTCTTCAAATTTCAGTTGTGTTAATGTACCCTCCAGACTTCTCTCAAGTACCCCTAAGGGGACTCGTATCACTGGTTGAGAAACACTGATCTAGATGAGCCTAAGGGACAAGTGTAGATACCTGATATAGGACTTAAGTGAGTGCACTGGGAGGAGGGGGAAAGAAATATTTTTATTTTGTGTGACAGTTGGAGCAAGAGTAATCTCCCACAAGTAAATGAAGGATGGATATAACAAAAGATCATAGCTAGGATTAAACTTCATGGCATATTTCCAGACTACTGCCGAATTACAACTCTGTAATGAGAATCCCTTTTTTTAAAATGTGGATGAAACCTTAAATCCGTCATAATAGAGGCTTTTTGGGTTTGTGACTTTACATATTTTGCCCCTGGAAGCAAAGGCACATTTCCTTTGTAAAACTGAAAGCTCATAGTGTTCTTTAATCTTCCCAAACCTCATTAACTTTCTATCTGGGGAGATTTGCATATGAGTTGCAAAGGGCCAGTTTACACAAATAGGAATACATTTTGCTTTTATACTTTAAACAATTAGAAGTGCAGGATGCTAAGTTTTATTTGTGGGTAGGAATCCTCTGCAGATATTACTTGTTCCTTTTGAGATACTGCAAGGGCTGTAGAATGCAGGCAGACTTCATAGATTTCAGCAGGGGCGTTGGAGTAGAGGGGGGTGGAGGCCTTTATTATGTTATCTATATGCAGCTGAGAAGTATAAGGGATGCAAGGAATTTTTATTGTCTGGAAAGTGGTCTGCTGATAAGATTGTTCTGCAGCAAATAGGATTATGCATAAAGAGATTATCCATGAAGCTGTCTGCTGACTCTTCTGGAGAAAGACAGTGCTTCCTATAGAACCACAGTATCCAACAGCCAGTGTTCCCGGTAATAATATTTAATTTCATTCTGTTCTTCAGTACCTCATTTCACACAGTAACCCGCTTCACTGAGATGTTTGTTATTCTGAAGCCTTCAATAGCCAAGAGCCATCTACTGGGGATAATTCCTAGAGCAACTGCATTCATGCCTCTGAAACTCATCAGGTGAGTTGTCGGCATAGTTTGGAACTTCTGTAGCTTTCTCTAATCTACTTCTCATTAATTTTTCTGGTGGAAAAAACTTGGATCTTTTACCTTTCACACCCTTTGCAGACATCTTTATGGTGTTACTGTTATAAGCACATGCCACTCAAATTCCATTTCCACGATCAACAATTCCATATAAAAACCATTTAATACACATATTCAAAGGCAAGAATTATAAGATTGGTTTGAGGTTGAGAGTAATTTAAGGCAAAACACATTCCAGAGCTGCCCTTGGGCAAGATGGGGGAAAGGAGGGCGGCTCTTCTCCCCCAGAAGGGGCAGGGCCTCTGTGGTAAGGCCGTGGTGGTACTCTGGCAGCAGTTTAAAGAGCGCAGGGCTCCGTGGCAGCTGCAGTACCTGGGAGCGCAGGCCCTTTAAATCACCAGGCCCTAAGGCAACTGTTCACTTTGCCCCCCTACAGCCCATCGGCAGGCCTGCCCCAACACAAGCATTACCAATCCAGACATTCAGAGTCAAAGTTAAAAGAAACCTAAACATGTAGAGAAGTGGCACAGTTGGGAACCCCAGGACCCTTGACTCCATTGTACTGACACCACTGCAGTAACTGCATGATGACTCTGGAACTATGAACACTGAAACAGACTGAACTGTATTTAAAGAAACTTAAGAAATTTTCCACATAAAGTCTCTTCTTTCTGAGAAACTCACAAAGAACTGTCCTATTTCAACCTGGCCACAAGCTCTCATTTTTATCTCAGTTGAACTGTGACTATACACTGCCCTCAGGGAAGATGGTACAGGTTAGACCTTCCTGACCAGTCCCAAATGAGGGATTTTGCCTGTATCAGAATTTTTGCCTAGGCTTACCAGGTAGTCGAGTCACTATGGCCGTGTCTACACTACACCCCTCTGTCGGCAGAGGGATGTAAATAAAGCACATCGAAAGTGCAAATGAAGCGGGGATTTAAATATCCCATGCTTCATTTGCATAATCACGTTCTGGTGCTGTTTCAAACAAGCACCATTTCGAAACTGAAACGGCGGTTTAGATGCGGTTCTGTAAGTGTGGGATATTTAAATGTGCTTTATTTACATCCCTCTGCTGACAGAGGGGTTAAGTGTAGACCTAGCCTACTTGACTAGTTGCTTCCCCACATACACACACTTGTTGCCTCTATCAGAGGCAGCAAAGGGAGGGAGCAGAGCTTGTGCTGGGGGAACCAGCTTAAAAGCCAGTTCACCCCAAAACCATCTCCATGGGGGGGCAGAGGAGGCAGAGGCCCAGCAGGAGACCATCTGTTTGCTGTACTTGTAAATTCTTAGAAAATTCACTTAATGCACCTAGAATCATAGATTCACAGAGCTGGAAGAGACCTCAGGAGGTCATCAAGTCAAGCCCCCTGCCCAAGACAGGACCAATCCCAACTAAATCAACCCAGCCAGGGCTTTGTCAAGACGAGACTTAAACCTCTAGGGATGGAGATTCCACCACCTCCCTAGGTAACACATTCCAGTGCTTCACCACCCTCCTAGTGAAATAGTTTTTCCTAAATATCCAACCTTGACCTCTCCCACTGTAACTTGAGACTATTGCTCTGCCATCCGTCACTACTGTAACCAGTGTAAGTGCTAAATGTTTAGGGGAAGATGCATTGTTATGTATGAAAGATATAAAGAGTTTCAATGCTACCTCAAAATGTAAAACTAGATTCAACCTTAACTCTTGTGCCTCCGTAATATACTATACTCAGCAAAACAAAAATAACCAACTAATTCCTTTGACTTTTCTGGACACCCACTCTCAATCAGCTATGTAGACAGCCAAATCCAACTCCTTTTCTGGAAACCACCCATAGTTCCCAAATTCTTCCTTTGGAATATTTTCAAATGGGCTTTGGAATATATTCATTCTTCATTTGGAATAATTGTCTAGAAAAATGCTTCTCAGACTCTGCCAAACTATGCATGTATGATTTGTACTGCTATTGCTGTTCTGTCATGAAATTATGTAAAATAATAGATTTTGGGGTTGGGTTTTTTTATGCTTTTAAGGTGCCTGGGGGAAGGGTGGTCACACTTTGACATTTTCTCTGCAGAGAAAGGCTAAAAACTTACTATTTCTGAGTGAAGTTTGAAATCAACAGATCCACTGGACTCCAGAAGCTAGGACTTGAAGAGAAAACAATAATTATCATGAGACTCATGACAAAACCATGAGAGTGAGCAACACTGGATGGAGCTACTTTGCCCACATTGGTTCAGGCAGACCTCATGATGTGCACTGAAATGAGGTTAGCGCTGTTTGCAAACAGTGAAAAATAAATCAGTCCAAGCTCTTTAATAATGGAATGAGGTTAGTTCTTAACTGTCGCCACTATTCTTTCCTCTCTCTCTCCTCCCTTGCCTTAAAAGAATGTTATGGACAAACTCACGTTACAAGTAAATTACTCGTTTGCTCATTGAGCTGGCTGGATGAGTGGCCTCTCTTGTGCAGTTCCTGCCATCTGGACTAGACTGCCTGAAGTCTTCCTTGTCAGCTCATTAGCTTGTCAGATTGTAACAGTAGCCTTTTTAATTTTTATTCTTTAGCCCTACTCAGTGACTCTGTAGAGCAATCGGGCTAGAGGCCCACTGACCCTGCAAATTTTCTCTGTACTTCAAGGATCAGGTCCTTCAAAACAGCCATTCCCAAACTTTGGGTCCCCTGAAAGGAAAAGTGGGCAGAAATTGACTCTGGGCTCTTGTGTCAAGGAAGTCACACACAAAAAGAAGCCAAAAAAGGTTAAATGCCACAACACCTACTGTGTACTTTCTTTTTGCTACCAATCCTTGTCATGTGAAGTACCGAAGCTAACGGAACAGATTAAAAAGGAGTCCAATAGCACTGTGAATACAAATGAATATATTAGGACATAAGCTTTCATGAGATAACTCACTTCCTCAGATGCTGAAAAGAGGCAGAGATACAGAGATGAGATTATGACATCAGTGCTAATTAAATCAGAATGGATATGGCTTATCTCCAACAGTAATGAGAGGGTGAAAGTATCTGAAGAGGAAAGTACCTATTGTAATGTGAGAACCACTTCATCTTTCTATTTAACCCTTTTTTCAGGGTGTCAAATTTGCATATGAATTTCAGCTCAGCAGTTTCTGGTTGCAATCTGTTTTTGAAGGGTTTTTTGTTTGTTTTTGCGCATAAGAATGACAACTTGAAAGTCAGAAACTATGTGTCCAGGGGAGGTTAAAGTGCTCCCCCCACTTTTTTTTTTATGTTGCCATTCTTAATGTCTGATTTACCATTCCAAAATGGTTCAAAGGTTTCACTTTGAAGTAATCAGAAATTGCCCTTGCAGACCAGGTGCTCTAGTACATGCCTGTCTCTGTGAAACGCAGTGAATGGTGCCAATCATCTACAAGTGAACAGCTTGGGGCAAAGTTAAGTGATTAATTACTTAACGGTTATGCTTTTGACACTAGCCAATTGCTTGGTGCTGTAGCTGTTGGGCATGTGGGGAGGATAATTTGTCCCACTGATGACTGTATTGTTTCACTTAAAAATCAAAGGACACAGTTTTACTGCTTGATGTTTATTATTAAAAATGTAGGGGCTGATCCTGCTCTGAGCTTCAGATGAGTTAAGGGGGCCTGAATGCAACAGCTACTTCCCCCAAGCAGAAGGTTCCAGCTAGCAATCAACAAACATTAACATGTACAAGCTGCATAAACAAAACAAAACACGGATTCCAGCTATACAAATTCAACAGTTTTATTTAACTATTTCTCTTCCTTCAAGCCAGCATATACGGAAACAAGTCTTTCTCCTTCTAATCAAGGAAAAGTGATTTAATAGTTACCCTATGTAACACTTTGTAATTATTTACTTACTTATACAAAATCCTATGTTTTGCTGCAATACAGGATGCTGTAGGCTGCTATAAATAGCCTTGATTCTACAAACAATGATCCTGATCCCATTAAAGCCAAATGGAGAGACTCTCAATGGGCTTTGGATCATGACCTGTATCCTTCTGAGAGAGAGAAATTGAGTAAATTCTCTTTCCAGTTACCAACTAAATGCAATACAATTTGCCAACTTATTAATGGTCTGCAATTTGACAAATTTGGTGCCCTTTGTTACTCATCAATTATCTGCTAACAAACAGACCGACTCCTGAATTTATACATTATTCAGAATGACAAATATTTGATACCAGTGTGTTTCAGCTCACAGATTGCTCATGAAGCGTTCACGGTACTTTGAGTATTTGCTGTTCCTAATTCACTATTTGTGCTGTGTGACTGAGGTTGCCAAAAGCCCAGGATAGCCTAGTCAGTCAGGGAACTGAAATGCTATGTCAACACTACCAGTTGGATAGATGGGTAGCGATCAATCTAGCAAGGGTCAGTTTATTGTGTCTAGTATAAACATGACAAATCAACTGCCCCTCACTCTAGCATCAACTCTGGTACCCCACTTCAATGAGAAGTGCAAGGGGAAGTGACAGGTGAGCAGCTCCTATCAACACACCGCAGGGAAGACCACACAGTAAGTAGATCTATGTATGTCAACTTCAGCTACGATGTTACACAACTTCAGCTGCATGAACTTAGATTGAGCTCCTTTGGGAACACCGACCATCCCTAAATGACTGAATTTCAAGTCAACAAAGAGCTATCAAGATGGTAGCACAAAACACTTTCACCAAGGTAATGCTTGACAGTACACACCATTCTGCAGTGTTGATTTACTACATACTAGAGCTGTGCAAACAACAGGGACACATCATAGTGGGTGTAAATTGGCTTAGAGGAGGTGTCCCACTGACTTCAATGGTTTCATTTTAGATTTATACAGACAGGAGATCAGAATTTGGACCATACACCCACATAAGACAACAATGAATGAATTTATGTATAATCATACCTTCCACTGAAATCAAGATATATTCATTCAACTTTCCACTGTATAATGTGGCTTAGTAATAAGAATGAATCAACTCCCAAGAACTGAAAAACTACAGTAGTGCACCAAAACAATGATCTGGGAACATACTAATTGCACCTGGATATCCTTATTTTAAAAGCCAGCTTAGAACCAGAACAATAAAGAGAAAAGTTTTGTAGAATTAACTCTAAGACTCTCCAGCAGGGGGTTCCAAAAGCATGAAAAAATATATGAGCAATATTCCCCTCAACGTGCTTGTTAGAGATGATTTTCTAGCCCTGTTTGTTTGTCTCATGCAGGAATTCAGATAAGCAACAAAACCAGATGAAATCAGAGCACAGTTTCCCGTACAACTCCAATGAGACTATGGGGCCGTTCGTGCTCTAGTCTCTGGGTTCTCCTCTCTGCTACCTGGTTTTCAGATGTAGTGAAAGTACTCAGATCTCCACAGCTCTCCAAGTGCAGCAGCCCTGGGTGTCTTCTAAATGGTAGGGTATGTGCCCTTGATGTAGATGGCTGAGCTGGAGTCATTACCTTCAAAGAAATGGAAAACAATTGAACATTATTTCTTTTAGCTTCCCAGTTTTAAAATAGATACGATAGAAGTCACCCTGGCCCAGCTTCCTGGGAGACAGGATGTTACAAGCTGTAGCTTCCTCTAATATTTCCCAGATAACTATATGCCTGACTTACTGACAATTCATGAATGTATATCGTAATGTGGCAGGTACTGCCTTGAAAAGTGTACAAAGACGTAATCTCTAATGGGGGCTGAGCCGTGGGGGTGGGAACATCTTCCCCCCTCTTCCTTTTCCATAGCATGGGTGCAGTATTTGTGCATTTTGGTGTCTCCACTTTTTTTAAAATCTAAACATAGGTGAACTTCTGATATTAACTCACCCCAAGTGCAAGACAATGTGTTAATAATGGTTCAAGAGTTATTTCCCACGTTCCCTTATTTGTAGCCTTTCCTTCCCTGCTATGCTTCAGCCCAGCTCTCAGAGGGTTGAACAGTTCTGAAAGACTCATGCTGATGTAAAGACTAAAGCCACAAGACATTTTTTGTAAAGAAACGGCCTAGTTTCACACTTTTGCTGTGTTTGTTTCTCAAACCTTTCCTTGAACTTGGATGAAACCATGAGCCACGTATCACTTCAGCTTGAAATTAGGGAAATATCATTTTGTTCTTTTGATTCTAAAACAATGTGAAATGCTTGGGGGGGCAAGAACCCAACCCAACCAAACCAAAGAGTTGCATAATGTGAAGTATAACTCTTGACTTTCACCATTTTAATAGAGAGTCACTTGGGCTGTAGCTTCACCCATTTTAAATGTTCTGTGTCTCCAAGATACCCAAGACTTTTCATGAAAAAGTCTATCGCCTACATGTGGCTTGTATCAAATTATAAAAAAATTGCTGGTTGCTCATCCTGTTACTATAAAAATGTGTTCTGCACTGTCTGCTTTTCCTCTAGGTTACTTTGTGTTTGGTTCAAGAGTCCCTAAATCGATAACAGATATAGGTCATAGCTGATTTGATAGAGTTTATATTAGGTATTTCTGTAGTAATCCTCAGCCTGATTGCTAGAAGTTACCCCACAGCGCTGCTCCCCTGTGAATAAAGGATAGCAGGAAAGATAGGCAGGAGATTGTTTTAAACCTTTCTTGGGCCTAGACATCTTGTTGTGAGTCCATGTGCCTTGTCAGTATGTCTTATGAAAATTGTGCTGATTGTTGATTCTAGACTGGTAGAGAGTCACACGCACAATTTCAGGGAGGAAGAGGAAGGTGATTTGATAGAGCCTGTGAGAAACATAATGGGTAGCTATTTCACAGACCTTGAAAAGCATCCCTCTTCTCTCAGTGATGGGGGTGGCAGTTAGCCCTCTATGCTGTGGATTAGTGAATCTAAACTGTATGTTCAGCAGAGGTCTCTTATTTCCTGACAGCCCTGGAACTCAGAGTGTCACATGTAACGCTCCCTGTAAGTGCTGTAACTGGTAGGGAGGAATCAGGTAAATAAAGCAGCGGCCCATGAGAGAGGAACCCTGGTGAACTGCTTCTGGTTTACTGCCCATTCCTGGTCCAAATCCTCCTTAAACCTCTCCTTTTCTATTATACTTATTTAAGAAAACCTTGACGGTGGTAAAGTTGGTGTGCAGAAAGCACTGCTTACCATACTGAACTATAGTGATTCATTGCTTTCTTGTACTCTCTTATCTGTCAATATCTACCCATTGTCTCTTACCTTACACTTTGTGTCTTTTGACAGAGGGATATAAATTAGACATTTCGAAATTGCAAATGAAGCGGGGATTTAAATATCTCATGCTTCATTTGCATAATCGCGTAATGGCGCACTTTCCAAAAAGCGCCATTTGGAAAGTAAAACCATGGTCTAGAAAGAGTGCCAATGTGCAATTATGCAAATGAAGCATGGGATATTAAATCCCACACTTCATATGCAATTTTGAAGTGTCTAATTTACATCCCTCCGTCAAACGAGGGATGTAGTCTAGACACAGTCTTAGAGTGATTGTAAGCTCTTTGAGGCAGGGACTGTCCTTTTGTTCTGCTTTTGTATAGCACCTAGCACAACGGGGTCCTGGCCCAAGACTTGGGCTGCTTGAAGCTATGGGATGATGGATAAATACTATTCCAACCTCAGTTAAGGTCTTGGGGAAATAAGGATGAGTCTGGGCCTCTTTTTATAATGCAGAGTTATTTATGCATACTGTGATTTACAGTCATGTTTAAACTACAAATAACATCAATGTGCTCAAGGCTGAATTAGTCCATTGGCTTTAGAAACAGCACTGGAGTTTTAGGAAGGTGTATCACAAAGGTTGCACTAGAAACAACCGATCAGAGAGAAATCAAAAGGCTTAGATGTTTTACGGTAACTTGTAAAACATGAGGGTAACAGATATTTTAGTTATGTTCTTAGATGGCGGCATTAATTAACATTTTTATGTCATCACTGAACTCAATTAGCTCCAGACTCTCTCTTGTGGTGGGGGTTTTGGTTTTTTTTGCAATGGGATAATAAATTATAATTTCAATTTACTCAGTTTTATAATCTTCTACAACCTTTTTTCTGGGTAAAGTATAATCATTTCATGTCATTTTATAGTCCCTACCACAAAAGATTTTGTCCTGCTTTAGGGGGAGAGGAGATTAATATTCGATCTGCCTCTTTTCACACTATTTTGAGAAATATGTTTTCCTGTTCCATTTCCCCTCCCCTGAATCTTGGTTAGCTCTGTGTTTGGCTTCTCATTCTTTCCCAGAACCAAGCTGGCATACTAGCAAACCCTGCTAGAGGTCAATTCTGAACCTTGCTGCTATCCAGGGAGTGCAGCTGTGAGCTGAACCAGTGGTTTCTATGCTAGAAAAGCCAATTAAAGTAAGGAAATGTCTCCGATTCATCTCAGCTACAATAATAAAAGATACCTGTTCCAGGAAGCTGGCACTGGTGATGGCTTCCTCCATGTGTTCTTCATCTGACTTTAAAACAGATTTAATATTTTCCACCAGTTCGTGTATGTCAGGGGTCATGCTGCAGGAGGACTGCTCTAGGAACCTTGCCACAAGCAGCTTAGTGTCTATGTATGACTTGTAGTCCACCAAAGATCGGGGTCTTGCTCTCAGAGCTCTTGCTCTCAAACCCCTTCGCAAAATAACAGTGGCCAGTTTGGGTTTTAATTCAGTCTGAGTTGCAGCTTCACAGCTTAGTACTGGACCTGAAGACAAAAACAAACTAGTCAAAGCCCATTTACTTTATCTGGGCAGTTGGAAAAAAACCAATGTCCTAATGAGATGTCAGCACTGACAGTAATTCAACACTGATAGATTGCAAAAATAAATGTGATGTTATCGTAACTAGTGAAACTCAATTATTGCCATGCTGGCACCATTGGTAACAAGCATCAATTCCCCCCCTCCACTCCTGAGAAATATTTGTGCTTTGTGTCAAATTTACTCCAGCTCGAGTGCACAGAGAAAAACCGTACATGCTTAGGGAAGGAAAATAAATGCATTTCCGGGCCTATTGCCCTTCTGTCACCACCTTAGAGCTAGAAGCCCCTTTTACCACTCTTTTGTACTTTAATGGGCTGTGACTGTCAACATGAAACAAGGTCTGATTGGTTTTTTTTTAAATAAACTTTCTATAATTTTTATAACATTAATTCTACTTTGTAAATATGGATCATGGACCAGGGCATGTCTGTACAGTAAGTAGATGCATGGCAAGCAAAGGTGTAACTCTCCAGTGTACCAGTTTGCCACACACTAACTCACCAGCATGGATGCCGCTACGGCAGAGTGAAAATTGTAGTGTACTACGCTGTAGTCTACATTTTCATTGCACATTACTGCAAAACAAGCTGGTGTGTTTGCCACACAGTATCTTGCCAGGTAGAGAAGTCGATAGATTAAATTAAGCTGTTAGACCCCATGAAGGACTTGGTGTAGAGGATGTAAGTAGTGTCAGGGCCTGTAAGACCCCTTCTAAACTTCAGTGATTTTCACAATTTGTGAATAGTAGTTCCCCTGTCCAACATAAGCACCACTGATTACCCCCCCCCACACTTGCACTGTATTGTCATACAACTAAGACAGTGTAGCTGTTAATTTCAATAAATATATGGAAAAAACAGCAACCCAAGTCCAAGCATAACCAGACAACTAATGCCAATACATTCATAGCTCCTGTGTTCATTTTGCATACTGCTACAAGCTATACTGGATCTTTCAAGAGCTTTTGGAGGAATACAGTAATCCTTGAGCAAGAAGATTGGTTATGAACTAACGAGAATTCTTTTTTTAAAAAAAAAACAAAAATTAGCAACTATACATCCTGGGTTTTTTTTTTTTATTTGACTGAATTTTCTATTTCCACTGTCTTGGGCAGAGCTTTGCAAGGGGGGGAAATAAACTGACATGTTGTTTAAATATAAATTCTTACTACTGTGTTTTTGTAATCAGAAAAACATCCACAGGTTAATAAGGCAGCACTGTTAATATGAGTTTTATGCCAGGGACACTAATTCCAGGAGGAACTCCAGTACCTCTTATCACCGATGCTCAAGCTAAAAAGTGACTTCCCTAGAATGTGGCAGCTGACTTCCATCTCTGCAGCAGCTCAGTATTACATTGTCAAGTGGACCAAGGTTACATTATATAGAATCAATTACAAACAGGGTTCCTGATGGCCTGGTTTTAAGTGCCTAAAAGCTGCTGATTGATTGACTGATTGATTCTATGCACAGCACCAAGCATCCCTTGCTGACTCCCTGTGAAACAGTGCATGAGACTGAACATGCTCATAAATGGTATTTGCATCTAAAGTGAGAAATAAATACACAGAAAAGGGGAAAACGTTCCCTCTTTTTTACTAGTAGCTACAGATGCAGAAGCTAAGAGTACTACTACTGTTCTTTGGAAGGGTTTGCTCTTAACTCATACACTTGTTTTCTTGTGGTCTGTGTCTCTCTCTCTCTGTCCAAAAATCTTGATATGATACATTCAACAGCTGCCAGATTGCTATATCAAATTCAATGCACTGGCATATTCAGCCTTAAGAAAATGACTGCAATGTCTGACAGTGTTGATATAGAAAAGTAATCACCTCTAGGTGGCAAGCCATGTAGCATAGGGTCGCTTTTTGATCTCTTCCTCAGAGGGTTGAAAGCTCTCTTGCGTGCAGGCTTTTGTTCTACAGGCACTGAGCTTAGATTTGAAGTCGAAAGGCTCTCTCTACTGGAAGAGTCGGGAATATCCGCACCCACTGGATAATAGGTAAAGATGAAGGAAAACAAACCAGAATAAACCAATTATGCAATACCCTTCTGGAAATAACAGGTTAAACTTACACTTTCAGGAAACAATGACTGGCATTGATCTTAATGGGAATTGCATGGGTTGGGGGGAGGGGGGGAGAGTCCAAAGTCCATTCCATACTATTCTAAAATCTTCCTCCTAAACATTGTCAAAAAACTGACCCACTTCTTATAAATCACCATCGGGCACAGCTGTACTGCTGCCAAACTGTTTTAACTGAAAATTTAGACCAGAACAAACTGTTCAGCACCCCTGGAATGTACCAAGATTCAAACATTCTGAAAGAAGAGAAAAATTGTATTTCAGTGGCTGTACAGTGGCATTTGACATGGTACGTGGGAAACCACAGAACTGAATACTTGTGCTTCCAGAGCTGTATTTATAAGCTAGTCCTTTTGCACACCTGTTTGCTGTGTTTTAAAATCTAGTATCATAGGCTCCTTAATAAAGATGTGGAGAGCCCAAGAAAACATTTTTGTTCATTCATTTTCTTCTAATCCAACATCAGCAGTCCCTGTTCCTTGAACTCATACATCAGTATAATGTATGATTTTGACAGCAGGTGGTGCAACATATTATGTTGCAGAGAACATGAAAGAGGATGTAGCTGGATATTTTTTCTGGAGACTCATTGGCTGGTCTAGTCTGGCAAGTTTTTGCTTGCTTTTGCGCAAAAACTTGCCAGCTGTCTACACTGGCCACTTGATTTTGCGCAAAAGCACTGACGTTCTACTATCTGAAATCAGTGCTTCTTGCGCAAATGCTTTGATGTTCCCGTTTGGGCAAAAGCCCTTTTCCGGAAATGTTTTTGCGCAAGATGGCCAGTGTAGACAGCTAAAAACTGTTTTGCGCAAAAAAGCCCTGATGGCGAAAATGGCGATCGGGGCTTTCTTGCGCAAAACTGCATCTAGATTGGCACGGACGCTTTTCCGCAAAAAGTGCTTTTGCGGAAAAGCGTCCGTGCCAATCTAGACGCTCTTTTCCGCAAATGCTTGTAACGGAAAAACTTTTCCGTTACAAGCATTTGCGGAAAATCATGCCAGTCTAGATGTAGCCATTTTGTAACCATCTCTGGCAGCAATTTTTGTTTCTTTGGGAGCAGAGAGTTAAACTTTCTTTTTTCAGAACCTGAGCAATAGCGGTTCATCACTTTAATGGAAAAGTAACAGTGATTGAAATCCCTGAGCAAGCACATCTAGGGGGTGGATGGGAGGGGAAGAGGGGTTGTTTTTATTTCTTGACTGTCGCTTCTGGTTTGGTATTGGATCACAAACTAGAAAATCCACATAACAGGAAGCAATGAGGTGAAGCATAAAGGCAATTATCAGCCTGGAAAGTTGGAGTGGGGAACAGCTCAAAAGTAAGAACCAACAACAAACAATAGCCGCTAAGGAATCCGGAAATGGTGTAGGATCAAAGAGTCAAGCCTCTGCCTGGTGTAACTGAACTGCAGCCAATGGAGTTACATTAACCTCTGGAGTATCACAGTACAGCCACGTTTCTCAAACTGTGGGTCCTGACCCCCCTCGGAGGGGTCGCGAGCAACTTAGAGGAGGCTCATGGTAGCACTAAGTTTGAGAACCTCTGCAGTACAGTAATGATCCTACAATTTGTAAGAGTGCTTCTGCAGTGAAATGTGTTTTAAATAAAAGCAGGGAGTAATTTGGTCTAGTGACTCTCTGATGACGAGTTATCTGTAATCTTAGCTTCAATATTCTAAATTCCTGAGAGAAAAAACATTACAGTAGCTAGAAATGGGGATGACAGCCGAAGTGTACTTGTTTCTAAGGTTACATGGTGATGAAGGGTAACTACAACATGTCACTAGCAGTCTATACAGGACTTGAGCTGACTGTCAAATAGAAAACTCACATTTACGTCAGGAGGCGGAATCTTAGGCCCTATGGGCTAAATACATATTAGGGGGACTACGGAGCTCTGACACACTATATAGTGCTGCTTTGCTGCTGCCCTCCCTCCGAGGTCTGGCTCAGGGTGGGTAACTATTTCTGCCAGGGGCTCCATAGCTGAAAGCGGGAAGGGAAAAAAATCAATCTTGCTGGGGATTGCGGCCAAAAGAATGCACTGAATCAGCACATCTGCCAGCTGCCTTAGCCATGCCCTCTTCCCTGCCAATATCACCCACTTTTCTGACTGGGCTGGGTTTATACTAGAAGCAGCTACAGTAAGCCAGGCGTAAATGCAGCATTATGTCTATTTGTTCTCCTCGAACAACTGAGCGATCATGTGAAATTGCTCCACTTAGATTCTTTCATGAAACTAGCAAACCTCATTAGATTATGTCTCCCTCATTCTGCACAGCAATAAAGAGAAGAAATGTTCACTTTTTTTTAATCGTTACCCTAAAAAGACAGGCCCCCTCCCAAGGAAGTGACACCTTTCTTTATCAAGGCATGCAGACACAGATCCTCTGACATTTAGCCAGTGTTATGTGCCTCAATAGTTACCTTTGATCTGGGCCTCAATTTTCTATCAAGCCTACAGATGTACTGGGTCTTACAAAGCAGATTTGAAATATTAGAACAAAGTTGATTACAGCTTCTTTTCTGGAGACAATGCAGACTACACGTAGTCTGTAATGTATACCAATTGCTATACTATAGTCTACAGTACTCATTCTGCAATAAAGTACAGTACCAAGATCGCAATGAAGTACCTCAGCCAGCCACCCTGGACTGCAGAAAGCAGGGAGCCTGTCTGAGGGGCCTGCTGACCAGGAGCCACCAGGTAAATACCTCCAGAAAGA